CCTCTCCCCCATTAGACAGAGACAGCATCAATCTAGACTTTCCCCCCCTACTTTGTCAGGTTCAGGCTAGACCTATTTCTGCACCACGTTTCAGAGCTATTGGAGCCAGCTCCTCCTCACATTCCTCTCCCCATTTCTCAGATGGTCCCAGTGCACTGCCCTTCTCTCAGCTCCCTTGGGGGCTGTTTGCAGAGAGCAGCATAAAAGGACTTGCCCAGCACAGAGCCAGGGCTGAGTGCAAGGTGCAGGGAGCCAGCTGACAAGACCGAGTGTTGGTCTGACTCACCACTTCTGCTCTGCACCATGGGCAAGGACAGGCTGTTAGGTGGCGTGAGCATTTTCCTCCTGCTCCTCTTCCTCCTCCCTGGAGACACCTCACCCACCACCGAACCGTAAGCTGCTCATGCAGAGGGGGCTGGTGCTGCTTTGGGAATCAGAAGTCCTGGGTTCATCTCCTGGCTGCCACTGATGGACTGACCCCTGGGAGGTCACGGCTCTGCTTTGTGCTCCTCTCCTCTCCTCCCCTCCCCTCCCCAACATGGTGATAACAGTGCCTTGCTCGCACCTGGGGGCAAGCAGGGGCTGAATGACTGTCAGGTGCTCTGAGGTCCCTGGGTGGAACAGCAGGTTGGAGCGTGATCTGTTCTTTCTCTGGTTGTCATTGCTCAGGTGATTCCTCCCACCTGCTAGTAGGCCTGCAGGGAGACCCCCACCTGATAAGAGCTGAAAGGGAGGGGTTGTGCTGCCAGGGAGATTCTCCCACCTGGGGCTCTGGCAACACTGTTTCCTCCGCTGTAACTTCAAAGCAGCTGCCAGGTTTAACACAGAGGCAAACAGAGGGCAGCCCTGCGGTCAGTGCTTCCTCCAGGCAAACTCTGTGGGAGATAACAGAGGTGCTGCCAGCACTGACCCCATCCTCCATGAAATACGCACAAGCCCCTGTGATGTGCCAGGCAGCAGAGATCTCTGAGGCGTGTCTGTCCTGCACTGGGAAAGAGCCTCCCAACCTGGGTCTACAGACTTGTGCTAGTGTGAGCCCTGAGAACAGTGTGGGCAGCGTGACCCAGGCTGGCTCTTGGGTGCTCAAGGGCTTGGGCATTGGGGCCCCTAGCTGTTAACACTCTGCCTTGTGGAGACCAGGATTCAGGGTCTGTCTGCACTTACGCAGCAGCAGCCGCACCTCTCTAGTGAATAGTGAAGATGTCACCTGTGCTGATTGGAGACCTATTCCCATCCGTGCAATTACCCCACTTCCCTGAGGAGTGGTACCTCTGTCCAGGGCCATCCCTAGAGGGGTGCAGGGCCTGGGGCAACCTCCCCAGCCCCACCTCTTCCTCAAAGCCCCACCCATGCTCCACCTCACCTCTTCCCCCTGCGCTATAGCCTTTTCTCAAAGCCCTCTACATGGGCTGCATGACCTGGGGGTTGCCAGAGGGACCTAACATGGGACACCAGCAGGGGTCGGGCATCCCCAGCATTCACCATGGCAGCAGGAGCCTGGGCAGCAGAGCGACTCACGCAGCAGCCTGCTGTGCTCCGCTGCCTTCTCCCACCCACATTGCTCCATTTCCCCAGGAAGCAGAAAGCTACGGCCCAGCCTGCTCCGCTCTCATGAGCAATGCTGGGCTCGAGGATGGGCTGGGGCTGGGGCTGGGGCGCTCTGCCGTGGTGCAGAAAAGCAACCGGCTGGCCCATGGCAGTGGAGTGGAGCAGGCTGCTGGGCCATTTGCTTCTCAGGCCCTCACTGCTGTTGCAAGTACAGCAGGACCAGCCTCTGCTCCCCCCACTGTGCCAGCCCTCACCTGGCTGTCATGGGCCCCCTGGGCTCCCATGAATATGGGATACTGTCCATAGGACGATTGGAATGGTGACTGCAGGTCCCCCCAAATGCATAGGGCCCAGGGTGCCTGCCCCAAACTGTCTTCTGGATGGAACAGCTCTGGCTGTCTGGAGGGGAGAAGCCTTCCCATTAGCATAGCACCAACTATGTGGAGAGTCAGGTTGGTAGAACGGTGTTGCTCAGGACAGTGGGTTTTCCACACCCACTCCCTGGAATAACTCAGTGGGCTCGTCTACACTGGCCCCTTTTCCGAAAGGGGCATGTTAATTTCACAGGTCGTAATAGGGAAATCCGCAGGGGATTTAAATATCCCCCGTGGCATTTAAATAAAAATGTCCGCCGCTTTTTTCCGGCTTTTAGAAAAGCCGGAAAAGAGCGTCTACACTGGCCCCGATCCTCCGGAAAAAAGCCCTTTTCCGGAGGACCTCTTATTCCTACTTTGAAGTTCCTTACCTCAAGACTGATGTAAGTTTGTAGTGTAGATCAGGGCTCAGCTTGTGACCCTGACAGAGTCCCAAAGCACTGGCTGAGATGCAAAGCGATGGGGGGGAAGGGAGATTTTCTTTTCCCAGGGAGACCGTTTAAAATGCATTTGCTGTGGTCCTTTTTTAAGTCCTGGCACCACCGTGTGGGCATGTGCAGTCACCATACTAAAGAACTTGCATAATTGACCAAATCGTCTCAGATATGTTAGGGCTGTAGAACAGAGCTGGGTAATATTTTGGTAAGATTGTCAAGATTTTGGTAAGTGGTCAAGGAACACACTTCTCTATGAAGGGGGTGCAGGAGGGAGCTCGGGGTATGGGTTTGGAGTGCAGGAGAGGGCATGGGATCTGAGAGGGAGTTGGGGTGAAGGAGGGGGTTGTGACCTGGGTCAGGAGATTGGGGTGCAGGGTCCAGAAGGGGTTAGGGGTACAGGCATGAATTTTGACCTGGGGGGATAGAGAAGGGGGTGCAGGATTTGGGAGGGAATTGTGACCTGGGGTGGGATGTATCCATAGAGGATGGGGGTGGTGGAGCATGGAGTTGGGAAGTGGGAGGGGCTCGCAGGCAGGCTTTGGCTGACAGTCACTTACCTTAGGTGGCTCCCAGCCAGCAGCCCAATAGGTTGGTTCCCAAGGCAGGCTCCCTCCTGCAGCAGTCCCAGGCTGCTCAGGGAGGTTCTTTCCATATGCCACTCAGGACCACACATTCCTGGGGAGCGAAAGATCTCCTGTGCTCCCCTGGCCAATCATCATGTCTAGGAGCAGGGCCTGGGAGTGCGGGAGCATGTAAACTCTCGGCCTGGCCCGGGTCTCACAGCACCTAGAGCGAACTGCCAACCATTTTGAACAGCTGGTGGCTCCTTCACACTGCATGCCCTGGGTGGTGGTGGGTGGGGAGAGGAGGAGACTACTTCTCCCACCCAGGGCATTTAGGGTCTGGGAATGGGGGAAAGTACAAAGTCCCCCTCCCGCCCTGCCAGAGGTGCTTCTTGGTGTTCACAACTGCTGATGGCTCCCTCTGGGTGCCACACACCCCTGGAGGAGGGGAGCCAGCAGACATTTTGAACAGCCTTGGGGTCAGAGCAGGGTAGGCCAGGGGTCATATGAAATGGTTTGGTGGGCTGGATCTGGCCTGTGGGTCATACCTTGCCCACTCCCACTCTAGAGTCTATTGCCTAGAAGGTCCTGTCTCAGACTGTAAGGAAAGCTCTGGAGTTAACTCTCTGGTACTGTTTACTGTTTCAGAGCGCTTGTGATTCCTGATTCTATTGTCTAGCAAATGGGACAGCTTGTGGTCATTTCTGGCATCCGTCAGTCACCCACCTTGTACTCAGGCTGTTGTGGGTAGTTGCCAGTGCCACTGATCCCAAAGTCGGCTACGCAGTGAATCAATGTCAAACGCTGATATTATCGTGAATTGGTGAATATATCCCATGGGTTGTCCATATTTTTACCAACCACGTCTCCTCCTCCCCCCGCGTCTTATGCAAGTTGATTTTTACTCATATTACAAGAAGACAAGACCAACATAATAAAGTCAGCATCTTCGATTTAATAATAATTTAACTTAATAAGGGTGGCATGTTTCGGTTGTCGAAGCAAATGCCTCACTCAGTTTACGCGGCTAAACAGACAGTTTTATTGGCCAATAAAAGCAAAGTGAGCCAAACGTGGTCCCAGCAAAGCCGGGCCCAGTAAGGCTGCTTAATACAATCAATCCTAGTATCTTTATACCCTTAACCAAACAGTCTGACGTCAGGGCATCCAATTACAGAAATAATCAATTAAACTAGGAAAAACAAAGCCTTATCAACAAGATGGCGGACAGGTACGAGGGAGTACCTCTCCTCTCTGAACCAGCCCAATTAACACATTCCAATAGCACATCTGTCTTGGCCTGGCGCATGGGGTGATAGAAAGTTCACTCTGGCCTACGTGCAAAGACAAAAAGATGAAATGGTTTCTGTTATACAAGATGGCTTCTAGCTAAACATAAACTAGCTTCATCAACTCCCCCCTTTTAGCCTTTTAAAGGCTAACCATGAAACCATTTTACATCTCCATTT